CTGTGTCGAACTCGCTTATCTCGAACTGCCGTTGTATCTGTGATCGAACGCAAACCCATTAGACTTTGAATGTACTCAGTTATCTCGAAGTCTGGCTAATGACTTTTATAAACAGTCTGCTCGTTGTTTTCACTGTGTTGGCGGTGTTTATTGGATATTTCATAAATAAAAGTCGTACCAATAGGTCATAGGATCAGATACGTTAATTGAATCTATTATAATTTCAAATCAACTCAGAATCCTTGCTATTTCGAACTTTTTGTTTTCAGGATAGCAGGATACTGTAGAGTTTGAGCAAGACAACATACCACGACGACGAATACGTACTTGGCAATTTAGGACCGTCTGCGCATTATCTTGCGCACGCTGAGTTTGGGGGTCAGCGGTGGTTGTTCAACGAACACAGGTTATAGATTCATGTCTAGCTGTTTATGAATTCTGACCATAATCCTTAACCTAACCCAGACAAAACAGCGAAACATGAATCCATATCCCGTCTTCGTTCTTCTGCCTTCCTTCGATCGTGAACCTTGTTCTTAAATGAAAGCAGAAGAACACAGACATGACGAGTTTTATGTCTCGCTGTTTTGTCTAGGTCAGGGTAATGTTTAGGGATCTGTAACGGGATCTGAATGACCCAAAACTCAGCATAATAATCTGCAGACGGACAAAAATTTTGTCAAGTACGTTTTGTCTATGCACTGAGTGTGTTGTTCAAACTCTCAACTATTGACGCTATTGTAACAACAGTTCGTACCTGTATAGTGGGTATATTTTGATTTTAACCCTAGAAATAACCCTTTATGGGTGAACTTTTAAAATATTCCTGGTTAGATTTCCGGGTTGTTTTATCTCACTTCCTACCATAGCCTGGTTAATGTAACCAGCTGGTGATATCTGACCAGGACGTCCTTGTTAAATTAGCCACAGTAAGGTGGATAGATAACCAGGGGCCATATTTCTACACTTATTTTGCATATCCAAAAGGATTTCATGGTTTTCTGCTAAGGTTTTCTAGACAATCATGAATATCATGGTATTAAAGCACTTGTTTTTTAAGCTAAAGGTCCTACTAGTCCTACTAAGATGGATGTTTCGTCTCTATAAATATGGGCAATGTCATGTACAGTTATTTAAAGCACGCGTATAGGAGTGCTTTATCAGATATAAAACACAAGTACGCAAACAATACTCATTGGCGAAATAATTTTAAAAATAAACGTTGCCAAGCCGAGAAATCAAAGCTAAAGTTTATGTAAATTAAGATGTTTTTTATCACATAAAAAAACCACCGACACGGCAGTAATTTCCTTTGTCTTTTCCTCATGATTGAATTATTAATGAGTATTTTAATATTTTATAATGCATTGTCGACTGTTCACGTAAGAGTGTTGCAAAACATTAATACTTGGATACAACCATGAAAGCTAAATGTCAAGTATTATTTCATGAAATTGTCCGCAATTTGTAGAATTTCGGTTGTTGGGGTGCGGAGCGTCACTAAATGTCACAGAGACCCCCTCGAGGGTAACTAAATATAATCCATAAGCACCATGACACGAATCAGGTCCTTTTATTGTGGCAGAAAGAGTTATGACTTCGTTCTGCTTCAGTATAACAGGTTTCATTAACATAACATCAAATCCAGGAATGTCGTCTTGATTACGATGCGAAGTATACTTTCCAGTTACACTGGCTTTATTGACTTCAAAACTGACCTGATACTCACTCCCATCTCGATCCCCAAACAAACGAACACCAACCAAGGAGACTTTTTCATTTACAGAAACTTGAAGGCGATCTGGTTCGCCACTATACCCCCACGCCGATCCAAGATCCTTTGCCTTTTCAGAAAATCTGGAAAACCGGACAATATTTCCCGATATCCTATTCGGTAGCTTCCATTTCAATGCGGACGAAGCAAATCCAACAAATTTCTCGTGGATGGGAATCATCTCTTCCGCAGTTAACAAACCAGATTTAGAAACATGTTCAACAAACTCTGCCTGGCTCATGCCAAAAAATCGAAAATCGTATATCGCCTCGCCAATAATGGACCTTCGATTCTCAGTTGTTGGTTCCAAACCCTTGCGCGAGCATTGGAAATCAATCCATTTTAAAACAGCTTGAAACAATTCCACTTCCAGTATTTTCAGAATGTCTCGCTTCAGTAATTTAGCCAAGGTCGTTTGACTAATGTTATTGAAACTATGAGAAGCTACCACTCTGCCTGTTTTAGACTCTATAATTTTCCAACATTGTTTTTCCAATTTTTTCTCATCAAAACGAGTCGCTGGTTCCAAAACATCAAGCACATTTTCAGGATTTAAATTCTCCAGTAGGAAATTAACACATTTCTCATCGAGCGGAGGAATTATATACTTCTTTGCCAAATACATAATGGCAACAACATTGTCTGCGGTCAATGTACATTCCTCCGTGTAAAGAGATCTCAAAAACTGCTCCAAACTTTCCTCATTTGTATCAGACAAATGAACAATCGAATCTTTCACAGCTAAGCCGCCATAAAACATGGCATGAAATACGGCGCTACTTGTGCCCAAGACATATTTATGTGCATAGAATGTCTTGTCTGAACCTTCGCAAGTGAAGCTGATATCACTCATGTCTGAATTGTTGAACATATGACGGTTTCTTTCTAAGATGGTGTTCTTTGTCGACTGCCAGTCCACACTGATCCGATTGAACGGAGGCCATTTTCAAGAATTCTAGATGTGAAATACTATCGAGAATATTTGAATGCAGAACCAGAATTGTGCAAGACAATCGCGGAAGTAGAATGCGAAACGTAATTTGATATGCTTTAGTGGGCATGAACAATCCAAACGTCCCGCAAATAAACGCCTGCTAGGCAGGCTACAGAAAATGGTGTACTGTTGAACATATAACAACATTTATTACATAACTTTATCAGTTATATGATTAGTTTTTTTAATCCACATGTTACACAGTAATTCGGAAATCAAGATTTAAAACAAAGAGTATTTAAAGTGGCTCTAAACAAAGAGTATTTAAAGTGGCTCAATACAGTTTTTAAAAAGATGGAGAATTCACGATTTAGATGCGTAATTCTGGATCTAACGTTTTCACAAAAGTTACACAACTGCCGTTGATAT